ATCCACCAGACCCATGTTGAGTGTCCTGCGGGTCGGGACAGAAGACATTAATATTTCTGAACATTCATCACTGTTTCCTAACAGTAGATGTCAACATCCCAGCTGTCATGTGCTCCTGCCTCCATGTGTCCCTTGATGATGAACTGCACCTTCAAACCCTGAGACAAATGCAACCTCTGTAACTAAAATAGTTCCTGTTATGTAATAGGCTATTGGTTAAAGTATAGACTATTTTTTCCACTTGTTTTTTTATCCCCTGGTACATGTATTCCTCTGGCACACACACATGTGCACTTGAGGATGTGGATATACACAACTGAAATCTGCCAGCCTGGACTCCTTCAAATTTCCTGCACCTACCTACATTCCTCTCTTCTCATTTTAAAACAGTATGGCAAATGTAATAGCACACAATTGGTGTTGTACATGTTTTATCTTCTGATTAGCAGGTTAGGATTTCAGTATTGTGTAGACATTGGAATGTTGCCCCTCTAAGGCTAGTTAGAGCATCCATCTCTTGTCCCCCGTGTTGGAAACACCTTGTGACTATAGATAAAAACCTTTTACAATCTATGAACTTAGCAGACCATTAGCTTACACCAACTCAAAAGCTATGAATGACATCAGCTAGCACCTTGGGCCTATAGCAATGCTTCCATCTTGCTGTACCTACCTGTCTGATGTACCTATGTATTTTAAATGTGCTTTGATTTATAATTTTTTTAAATCTGGAAAACTATAAAAACTTCGTAAAACTGTTTCCATAATGAAGCACGGCACTCTGGGTAACTTAAATGTGTGTTCCCAGGCCATGGTCATCCAAAATGACTCCAGAATAAACTGTCTCTTATTCCTTTAAGACAAGAGCTGTATTATTTGTGTCAAATGGAGTAGGGTGTCAGATCATCTGGAACTCTTATAAACCATCATGTGAGGATTGTCAAACCCAGGTGTTCTGGAAGAGCAACAAGCATTCTTCATCACCAAATCATCTCTCCAGCCCTGGTTAACCTTTCCAACAAAAACAATGTGAAAACATTCAGCGGGGAGGATCCAGTTTAAGTTTTACCAGGATGGCTGGGCATGATTACAATCCCAGGCTGAGGTGTGAGGTTAGTGAATTTAAGGTCAGCTTTAACAACACAGTGAGATATCATCTCAAAAAACAAACAAACAAAAAACAAAAATAACCAAACAAAAACCAAAACCAGAAAGCTAGTTATGGGCATTGCTACAGCAAGTTTGTTTTTGGAAAAACTTTAGACTGACTAGAGACTTGTGGTCAGTGAAAAGCTCCAGTTTTAGAATTAGCCTGCCTAGACAAGACAGTGGGTTAAGGCTTCTGCCGGCCATGTGCCTAGAGCTCGCATTAAACACAGACATTGCAGGAGAAGGCTAAGGGGGCATCTCTCTTACCAGTTAATGTTTCCTGTCAGTTGCATCTTGACTCAATCCTTTGTAAAAGAGGGAGGGACATCACCTGTCATGCTAAAGATAAGCAGAATTGGGTGAGAAGGTGAGTGTGCCCTTGGCTTGTGGGAACTAGGAAACAGGAAGGCAAAGAAGTCTCTTGGCAGAGAGATGGTGCCTGTGGAACTCAAATGGTGCATGGGATGGGGGCATTTTGAGAAAGGAGTGGCAGTGACTGTGAGCAGACACTGAACATGTGGGGCTTTTCCTTGGAGGAATGCAGAAGTAGCCAGGAGCTTTGGTGACTATGTTGAGCAACCTAGACATGTTTGAACATGATGTATGGTGGAAATGAGGGGCTCTGGAGTGAGCAGATTAGGCTGAATCTGTAGCTCTTGCCTCCCTGGTGAGAGATAGAAAGGTGAGCAGGCAGACACTGGCTTGCTTTCTTCCTGTCCCACCCTCCAACAGACACGTACAAAGAATACCACTGTTACACCAAACCCCTTATGTACCAAAGGAAGGACAGACAACACTTATGGTTCCTAAAGGTTTTATTAATCCACCATGTAAGCGGTCACTGATCAATTAGTGCTGCAGGACAAGGATTCAGGAACCTTATTTGTCCAGACAGCCCCAGGTAGGGGCAGAAGCAGGGTTTATAAGCACAAAAATCACAATTTTCACCAATCAGAAGTTAGAGATTAAGGATTTTACTTGTGTGTACCATCACTGTCAACTGACTCTCAACCCAGTCGATGAGATTCATTGTTCTTTCTGTGGTTAGGAGCAACCATAATGTTTCTAGAAAAGTAAGGATACATAAGTACCTATACTACGGTTTAGGAAGGAGGGGAGTCAGCTATCGGAAGGTTACCAGCTCCCCTAGGGCCTGGGAACTTGAACTTTATTTCACCCTACAGGTAAAAAGGAGTCTGAAGTTGAAATGGCAGTATTCAGACCAAGGTGCTGCCTGTTCCCTTCACCGTGGTACTTAGATCTCTATGAATGTTGTGACTGATGGTTATCATGTTAGCAGCCTAAACAATGGCTGTTCAGTAGAGTCCACAGCCCTCCTCAAAGAGCCTGACTATAATGTAGCATCAGGTCACGTACATTTTCATATGAAACTTCTTGCTAAATGAACTTCTTTGATACTCAAAAATATTTTTAAACTATTTTTATGAGTATGGGTGTTTTGCTTTTATGTATATTTGTGCACCATGTACAGGCAGAGCTCGAGGATATCAGAAGGCAATGAATCCTCTGGGACTGGAGTTACAAACAGTTGTAACTGCCACATGGATGCTGTGAGGGCACCTGGTACTCTTAGTCACTGAGCCATCTCTCCAGACCTCCACTTCATTTCTGAAAGGATCTCATACTGAACCTGGAGTTGGCCAGCAAGTTCCTGGGATAAGCCTATCACCTTCCCAGCACCCAGATTACAGCAAATACTGCCCTGGCTTTTCATGCGGGTGCTAGGAGTTGAACTCAGGTCCTCATGCTACATGACAAGCACTTTATGGAGTGAACACTGTATCAAGCCCTACTTTTGATTTTTATAAAAAGCACATATACCTATTAAAGGAGAGAAGTCTGTGGGTCTGGTGTGCAGAAAATTCCCTGTGCTCCTGTAAAGGATTACTGTGGCTCCTATTCAGTTATGGCTTGTGTGCTGCTTGCATATCAGCAAGGCTGAGAACAAGTGTCAAGTGTCTACATGCATGTGCACAGTTCCCGCTCCCAGTCCCCTGTACAGGGAGTGCTTGCTCTTTGGGGCATGTATTAGCTATTGTCTTATTTCTGTGATAAATAGCTGATGAGAAGCAATATCAGGGTTTGTTTGCTCTCAAAGTTTGAGGGTGCTGCCTATCATGTGGAGGAAGGAAGGGAGGGAGGCATGGTAGCTAAGTGCAGGGTTAGCTGGGACGGCAGGAGCGTGGGATGGCTGCTTGTGCAGGTCCTCAGTCAGGAAGCGAGTAAGATGAACCATGGTACTCAGCTCACTTCCTTTTTATTCTGCTGGGACTCCAGCCCGTGGGATGGTGTCATTCACACTCAAAGTGGGATTTCTTTCCTCACTTAAACTTCCCTGGAAATGCCTCTGAAGACATACCCAAGATGTGTCTCCTAGATTCCAGAGTTTACAAAGATGAGTAACTATCATAGCAATATTGTGTTTAGTTTAAGCTGAGCTATATAGTAAAACTAGTTTATTCTTCACCTAGGTTTTTGTTTTTGTTGTATTATTCAATTTCTAACTATCCTTATCTCCTTTACTGTCACCCTCTTTCCAAAGCCTCTGACCTCTAATCTGGATTGGTCACTCTCTGTGAAGCACTTTCGAAGATTCTTCTGGATCCAACCATCAGCTACATGTTTACATGACCCATTAACAAGAGGATGATGATGATGATAACTGCCTTCCTATTCTTCAGTGGGTGATTCAGGAAGAAAATAAAACAAAAATGCAACACCCCCAACCACTTCTGTAGAACAAGCTTTCTAGTTCTGTTCTGAGCTTGCTTGAATTGAAGCCTTCCTTTTCGGTGACAGCACTGTTGTGCCTGTCATGGGATGACAGGGCTGTCCTGTTTCTAGTTTGGCCAGGGTACTCAGTCTTTATGTTCTAGAAGAAAGAGCAAATACTCTTAAAGCTCCACCATTTCTCAGCTCCTATGTCATGCAATCAAGTGCAGGGTTTGTTCTGTCTTGTGCTGCTTCTGGATTTGGGGAGCAAAGGTGAGGATGAATACTGACATAGATTGGGTCGGAGTGTTACACCGACCACGCTCACTTTGGAACTTGGCCACAGGTCCCCTACAGAAGAGAAATCTAGGAAGCCAGGCTGACCCAGGGAAGTCTAGATACTGAACTGGAGGAAATGGGGAGGACAGAGAACAGGTACCCCTGTACAGATTTTATCCTAGAGCCTAAGCAGACAGCTTGGGCCCCTGGCTATTTCTGGATACCTTAGCTCTCTTAAGTTAGGGAAGGAACTCAGAGCTAGTGCTGCTCAGATTAAGAGAATTGAATGCACATCCATATTCATGTTCCTTAGAAATATAACCCCCTAACAGCAGTAACAAAACCACCACACCCACACCCACACCCACACCCACACACAATATGACTGGGTCAGACTTGAAAAATGGCTTCTTTGGGGGAGTAGTAGGGATGGTGTTTCCTAAGATGGAGAAACACCTCTGGTGAGCTCCCTGCCCAGCCCAGCCCAGCCCAGCCCAGCCCAGCCCAGCCCAGCAGGTGTCCTGTGATCACCTGGGAGATGGCTATAAACAACAAAGGCTGAAAACACCAGCAAAAGCAAGAGTCCCACCAGCTCCCTGCTCCTCTCCAGATGGGAAGAAATGACCTTCTGCTGCTTGTTCACTGAGCTGATCAGCAGTGATTTCTTTTCTGAACTGTAAAAACACACAAAAAAAAGGAACTCCCTCTAGACTAGAACTCAGAGTCCCATCATACTGAAAGGCCTGTGGACAAGATCTCAGTGGAGAAGGGGAGGACTGATTCCATACCACAGCCACTCCAGCCACCACTGCCCACACCTCAGAGTACTAAGTTACACATGGAAAAGAGAAAGCTTTATTAAATCATTCATTAAAGTATAAATTAGCTTCTTTAGGGTTATAAAAAAAGTATTCCAAGGCTCTGAGGAAAGCAGTCTTATGTCAATCCCAAGGCACTTTTCTCCCCAGGACTTGGTTGGTCACTTTCTGTGAAAGAAGACACAGGAAGTAGTCAGATGCAGTCACCAGGTGGCTGGTCACCCTCACCTCAGCACACTGCTGAAGAGACTCTCCCTACATCTTGTATACGTTACTCACTACAGACCTATGGCAATTAGGAAAAATGTGTTTCTTAAAGTGTTTTTGGAAAGATGGTCAATAAGCAACACCATCTCCATAGAAACAGATACTGGAATGGGATGGATTGACCAACCCATCAGCTGACCACACCCAGCACAGCAAGGGCCTGTGTGATGCTAACACAGCAGGCAGGCCATGCAGTTCCTAGGGTCTCCCCAATGCCCAGGCTCCTGAGTGCTCCAGACACAGTTAACTCTCACACTAGTCTGGTCTGGTCTTTAGCTTCTGCCTTTCAGAGTCCTCTAAAGAGTAGTGAGTAGCCTAGGAGGAAAACAGCAGCTGTGAAGGATATGACCCATTGGGCTGGTGGTCAGTGTGGTGTCTAAGAAAAGTAACTGGTACTGTCCTAGGAGTTCTTGGCAGGCTCCACTCTCTAGTTGCTCACTACTGCTGACTCACAGACATTGTCTAGGCTATTTACATAGTTCTAGATTTGCAGAAGGGACTTAAGATCACCATTTAGGAATTACAGCTCAGTCACGAGAGCTGAATTGCCTGTGTGAAGTCTGCTTAGCTGCAGATACATGGAAAGTCCTGAATCACAGTTGATAATGCTTGAAATCTCAGCACTCAGACCATCACTGCACTTCTCAAAAGTGTTAGCCAGGCTGCTTCTATTTCCCTTTGCTGATAAGTCTGATCTACCCCTCCAAGAACAGGGTGTCAACCCAGCTAACCGTTTTATAGTGTTGAGCTCGCAGCCGGTAGGACTTATAGTCTGATTTCCTCTTTTCCTCTTCTCTCTTCTTCTTTACTTCCGGAAGCTGCTCATAAATCCTTAGAAATAGCATGAGTGGAAAGACAGAAAGTAGTATGGTTATCTGGCATGAAGGTACACGATGGCTCTTCCCACACCTCTGGCGATATGGCCGCCTAAGCATCCAGTCTCTAGACAGGGCCAGCCGCTGATAAACATCCATTTCATGGATGTGGAGAGCCTGGCCTGTGCCTACAGTCTGGGAGACAGATGAATAAAAACATAAAACACTATAAATAGTGCTTATTTCCAGAAAAAGAATAAAGGAGTAAGTAAAATTCTGTTTTCCATGCTATCTGCAAAACTATATAGTTCAATATAACAAAAAGTTATTACTGAGTATGTACACACACACACACACACACACACACACACACACACACACACACACACACACATATATATATATATATATATATATATATATATATATATACAGACACACATTCCTACATATGCCAGGATTGACTGAGGTACTCCAGACTAGTCTGGAAATAAGTCTAGCCTTAGCTTATTAAATGTTGGGCTTACATGGATATGCAACACCATATCCAGTTTATATATTTTTAAAATTATTATTATTTATTTTTCAAGACAGAGTTTCTCTATAGCTTTGGAGGCTGTCCTGGAATTTGCTCTGTAGACCACGCTGGACTCAAACTCAGAGTTACGCCTGCCTCTGTCCCCCAAGTGATGGGATTAAAGGTGTGCGCCACCGCCATTCAGCTAAAATTAACTTTTTGGTTAGCATACAAAGAAATGGACTTTACTGTGACATGTCACATGTATATCACTGCTTTTCTTATCTGCCCTCCTCATCCCCTCTTGCTGGTTGCCTTCTTTCCCAAATAGTGCCCCGTTCTGCTTTCATGACACACATTCCTTAGCCTCTTTTAGTGTCTCCATCCTTCAAATCTGCCTTTCTACTTTATGTTGTGCATATGAAGAAAACAGGGCATTTGTCTGAATCTAGCTTATTTTGCTTAACACAATAATTTCTGGTTTTGCCCGTTTACAGCTGAATAAAACCTCATTGTATATATGCACCACATTTCCTTTGCCCACGCATCTGCTGATGAATACTGGAGCTGATTCCATTTGTTGGCTACTGTGAATACTGCTGCAATAAACACATATACGCAAACATCTCTGTGATATGTTGACATAAAGTCCTTCAGGTATATATCCACAGATGGTATAGCTAGGTCCAGTGTTAGTTTTATTTTCTGCAGTGGCTGTAGCAGTTTACATTCCCTCCCACAATACACTTCCTTTCCCCATACCATCGCCAGCATTTGTTGTCACTCATCTCTTTGATGCTAGCCATTCTGACTTGAGATGAAATCTCAAAGAGTTTTGAATTGCATTTCCCCGATTGCTAAAGATGTTGAACACATTTTCAAATATTTATTGGGCATTTGTATTCCTTCTTTTGAGAACTGTCTATTTAGTTCACTAGCCTAGTTAATGGCTGGATGACTCTTTTAATACATTTAATCTCTATAGTTTTTAGGTAATAATCTTCTGTTGGAAGGTGTTGTGAAAAGTGCCCCTTGTCTCATATGTTTGAACACTGGGTCCCCAGCTGATGACAGTTTGGGAAGGATGTGGAACCTCACTGGAAGAAGTGGATCATGAGGGATGGGCCTTGAGCTTGGACCTACTTCTTGTTCACTCTCTATTTCCTGAGGATGGGTGCAATGTGACAGGCCAGCCAGCCTCCAGCTCCTGTTGCCATGCCTTCTCTGCCAGCTACCACTACAATGGACTTTATCCCTCTGGAACTGTAGGCCAAAATAAACCCTTTGTTCCTTAAGTTTCTTTTGTTAGGATACTTTATCATGGTGACAAGAAAATATCTAAGACAGATACATAGCTAGCAAAGATTTTCTTCCATTCTGTAAGCCATCTTTTTTTTTTTTTTTTTTTTTTTTTTTGGTTTTTACAAGACAGGGTTTCTCTGCATTGTTTTGGAGGCTTTCAGTCTGGCCTGGCCTCGAACTCACAGAGACCTGCCTGCCTCTGTCCCCCAAGTGCTGGGATTAAAGGCGTGTGCCACCACCGCCCAGCGTAGGCCATCTCTTTACTCTTGTGATGTTTCTTTTATTGCTATGAGAAACTAATTTCATGAAGTTCCATTTTTAATTCTTAGGGTTATTTCCTGTGCTTCTCAGAAAGCCTTTATACAACCCTGTTATCTTGATGGGTTTTGCCTCTAGCAACTCCAGTTACTACTGCATTTAAAACACAGGGAAGTAAAAGCTCTAGAATAGCCGCACCTATAAAGTATGGAGTAGACAGAGAAGAGACTCTTATGCTGTGGGAAGGGCAAGCAGGCTTGAGAGGAGCTTAGGCTTGCGTTGGAAATGAAGAACTGTCAGGAACAGAGACAGAAGGGACATAGGGGATCCACACTGGGAAATGTGCTCTGGTAGAAATGGAGTTTGCAGAATTGTGGTACAGGGAAATCGGTAGGAAGCAGGTGGGGAGAAGCTGAGGTGGGCTACAGGGTCTTACAGTCATGCAAAAAATTACACTTCATCCTATACTAATTAACTAATATGTAGACCATGCTTGCAATGGCACAAGATTCAAGAAGTCTCTGAAAAACTCATCATGGCAGTCTCAGTGGCTGCTCTTGCAGAGGACCTGGGTTCAATTCCTAGCACCAATGTGGCAGTTTGTAAATGTCTGTAACTCCACTCAAGGAAATCCAACACCCTCTTTTGGCTTCTAAAGCCACTGCATGCATGTGGATTTGCACACTTACATACATACAGGCAAAACACTCAGATACATAAAATCAAAATAAACCTTAACAACAACAAAAATCTGGTCTTTCATATCCCTACACCCAACCACTCAGTTCTTGTATCCCAAAGGGAATCACTATTAGTAATTCTTCTGCAACTTACAGAAATAGTTTATGCACATGCAGGTCTACACAGCTATAAAAGCAAAGGCATTTCTTTTTAAAGACTATCAATACAGCAATAGATGGAAACTGAACATACTTCTGAAACTCAAGTTCTTAGGCTTAACTTGTCTTGGAGAGCAACTGATCATTTCTTACTCTGTTGGAAAAACTCCTAGAAATGAGACTGCTACGATAAAGATAGTGGCCCAAAATAAATATTTATTTTTATTTCAAAATATTTCTTAGTTTCATCCAGATCTCTAAAAAGGACAAGTTCATTCCAGGCAGTCCTCTTCCCCCTTTGCACGGGAACAACTCACACACAGTCGTCTATTTTCTCTTCCTTTACTATGCTCTGAGAAGCAACTTCACCACTAACCACTCTGGGGCTGGGAAGCAGGGTCATCACCAGTGGCCTGGCTTATTTATAGCTGCATAACTACTCTCATTCTTTGGGACTTACCGTTTAGTTCTCTGGATCATTTCCTTCTTTCCAATAGGCTTGCTCCTCTGGACAGTCAGGAGGACTAGACAAGACAAGGGTTCATTAGTGGACAGTGACTGTAAGGAGAGGTGTGGCGTTGTAGATCTGTGCAGAGGAGCTGCTGTGCCCTAAGCCCAGTTGGTGGTACAGGGCAAGGCCAAAGCCTGAACTGTATTAAGGGTACTGTGACCAAAGTCTAAACCCACTGTGTCTGGCCACAGTGTGAACCCGACTACTGATTAGTTGACATGTAAGACTGACAGCGGTATGTGACATTTTATATGTCACAGCTTTCTTTTGTTATTATATTGAGACTCGACACTCGTGGTAACTGTTAGATGAACAGACGTTGGTTGAAAAGCCCAGCTCCTTCACTAAGAAGAGTATAACCTTGGGTGAGCTATTTACTCTTCCTGTGAAGTAAAAGCATTAATATGGTGCTGTTTTTAGACATGTGCCATGAGAACAGTGCTGGGCAGACTCTGATGTCTGTGTTTATCACTACTATTTTCATATTACATTCTGAAGTCAGAACACAGGCTAGTTCACTAAAGAACCACCCCTACGGCAGATACAGTGATAAGACTGACAGAGCTGGGCTTACTGGGGTCACAGACCAGTGGGAAGCGAGATTGGGCCAGTCTTCTAGCTAAGGAGTCTCAAGTCTCAGCAAGCAAAGCCACGTTCAGCATCCTCACTGATGCTGTAGCCTGGTATCCAGCGGCACTCCTCAGCACAGCACAGCCACTCGGTAAAATGACCTGAGGTACACCTCTCCTGGGCAGGACAAGGGACATGAGGTATACACCTCTCCTGGGCAGGACAAGGGACATGAGGTACACCTCTCCTGGGTAGGACAAGGGACATGAGGTACACCTCTCCTGGGCAGGACAAGGGACATGAGGTACACCTCTCCTGGGCAGGACAAGGGACATGAGGTACACCTCTCCTGGGCAGGACAAGGGACATGAGGTACACCTCTCCTGGGCAGGACAAGGGACATGAGGTACACCTCTCCTGGGCAGGACAAGGGACATGAGGTATACACCTCTCCTGGGTAGGACAAGGGACATGAGGTACACACCTCTCCTGGGCAGGACAAGGGACATGAGGTACACCTCTCCTGGGCAGGACAAGGGACATGAGGTACACCTCTCCTGGGCAGGACAAGGGACATGAGGTACACTTCTCCTGGGTAGGACAAGGGACATGAGGTATACACCTCTCCTGGGTAGGACAAGGGACATGAGGTACACCTCTCCTGGGCAGGACAAGGGACATGAGGTATACCTCTCCTGGGCAGGACAAGGGACATGAGGTACACCTCTCCTGGGCAGGACAAGGGACATGAGGTACACCTCTCCTGGGCAGGACAAGGGACATGAGGTACACCTCTCCTGGGCAGGACAAGGGACATGAGGTACACTTCTCCTGGGTAGGACAAGGGACATGAGGTATACACCTCTCCTGGGCAGGACAAGGGACATGAGGTACACTTCTCCTGGGTAGGACAAGGGATATGAGGTACACTTCTCCTGGGTAGGACAAGGGACATGAGGTACACACCTCTCCTGGGCAGGACAAGGGACATGAGGTACACCTCTCCTGGGTAGGACAAGGGACATGAGGTACACCTCTCCTGGGTAGGACAAGGGACATGAGGTATACACCTCTCCTGGGCAGGACAAGGGACATGAGGTACACCTCTCCTGGGTAGGACAAGGGACATGAGGTATACACCTCTCCTGGGCAGGACAAGGGACATGAGGTACACTTCTCCTGGGTAGGACAAGGGACATGAGGTACACCTCTCCTGGGCAGGACAAGGGACATGAGGTACACCTCTCCTGGGTAGCACAAGGGACATGAGGTACACTTCTCCTGGGTAGGACAAGGGACATGAGGTATACCTCTTCTGGGCAGGGGCCGCACAGTGTTGAACAGAGCCTCCCGCTCGCTCTGGAACAAGCTCTGCAGCTTCCTTTCCTGGACTAGTAACTTCAGGCGCTTTATCCGCTCTCCAGAGCGGGAAATGAAATCAGGTCTGTGAAGCTGAAGAGCTTCCTAAAGGAGAGAAAATACTTCATGTTAATGGCATGGCCTGTTCTCAAGTGCCCAGAAAAACAGTACCTGCCTCACAGCTTTGAGAGCCTGCAGGGGAGGGCACCCCAGGGAAAATGAAAGGAAGCATGGAAATGCCTTTGGGAAAAGTTGAGAACTCAACTGGGGTAACCTGCAACTCTTCCAAGTGTTGGTAACACAGAGGTCAGTTCATTCCCTTCAAACAAAGTCATCATTAAATATCATTTGCCTTAGCTACCAAGGGATATGGTAAGGGTTAATGATGCAAGGCCCTACAACAATGCAATCCTGACCCAAACACCGGGCCTGTTATTGCGCATGTGGGAGACCGCACATAGCGAGCAATGCCATAGAGTACCTTCCTTCTCCTCTGTGTCATCAGATCCTGAGGATGGTGGGATGACTAAAGTCCAGCAAGCCAGTCACACATGTTCCCACAAAAACATATGGCTAACATCAACCTGATGTCACTGTACCTACCTGCAGGGTTGCTCTCACAAATGGCCTAAGAGGAACCTGGCCACCATCTCCGCCTGGGCCTCCCAGGCACCCACGGCTGCTCATGCATTGCTCCTGCCAGTTATGTTCCCTCAGTGGCTCCCTCCAGGGTTTGGTTTTGGACACTGGTTCAAACCAGGAGATACCAGGGCTGTAAATCTTAGGCAGGTTTTCCTTCTTAGATCCAGACTTTCTATTTTCCACAGGAACAAACCATGAGACACCTACAGGAAATATTTTCAAGAAGAAACTAAAGTTTTATTTTCTAATAATCATTCCCAAAGACATGTATGCAATACTGACTTGCAAAGGACTCATCTGTTGGGGGTGACAACCCCTAGGGTGCTCTTGAGTTGTTCTTAACCTCAGTAGGACTCTCTAAATGACGTTCTAGTGACATTTCAGAACAGCCATGTGGTGGCTAGTGGCAGGTGGAGTCAATGTATAGTCCTCAGAAGCAAGGGCAAGCTCAGTGTTGCAAGAGAGGTAGACACAACTTTGTGAGATTCCCTGCTACCCGGAGTTAGAAACTGACCCTCAAAATACAAACCAACCAACCTTCACAAGAGTTTGGCTTGTTCTTCCTTAAGTTTTTGTCCCGCAGATAACTGGTAAGGAACTTTTTCTCTTTGTTTTTTTCTTCTGACCAAGAAGTCACATCACTGTCCAGTTTGGCCTCACTAGAACTGGGAGTTGGGAAAGTCATCCCAACATCTTGAGTGTATTTTTTGGCACCAGTCACAATCTCCAAGTTACCTGAGGGGAAAGACAGATGTATCTGGGAGCAGACTAGAAGCTTGGCTGGCAGACTTAAGGTCAGAGGTGAGCCCCTATTAATAACTCAAAGATATGTTGCATTGGGGGGGTAGGGAGGAGAGGCAGAGATGGGGTAAAAGGCGCGCGCGCGTACACACACACACACACACACACGCACGCACGCACGCACGCACACACATGCACATTTAATTTCTAAGTTGGTTTGGGCTTCCAACTCCAGGGGAATAAGACAGTCAGAACTTCTGGAGGTGATAGAAAGGAGCTCAAGACTTGTGGAAAGGATGAAGTAAAAAGACTGACTTATATAAAACCAAACTCTCTCCAAGCATAAGCTTCGAATTCTCCCAGCCCTGCTCTCCAGTCACTGTTTACAACTCTGGACCCCAGAAAACTACTCACTTAAGCATTCTCTTCCCTCCTTTGTTTTTACAAAATGCACACAGTAGTAAACTCTATGTGTTCTGTTCTTTGATTTTTCTTTTAGATATATACATTCTGGGGACCTCTGTGTATGTTGTGAATTGAACCTAGGCCCTCTGCAAAAGCAACTAGTGTTCTTAACTGTTTCTCCTGTCCTGAGAGTTTCCTCATTCTGCATAAAACTTCCTCATATGAGTCACCATTGTTAGTGATAACTATCAAAGTTGATTTTAATTTTATGCTACAATACCCCTACTTTTGCACATATTTAAGTATTATCTATTGGCCAAATCCCACTGAGTCAAAGTAAATTTGACAAGAGTTACTAAACTGCTTTTCACAGAGGCTGTAGCATTTGGACCCCTGCTACAAAGGCACTTATTTCTCTACACTCTTGCTTATAAACTTGAAAATTTTTTATAATTAATAAGTAAAAAATAGCACTGAAATAAGTAGGTACTTTTCATCTTTCTACCCCTTATCAAGAGTAAGGTTAAAATAAGTGTGTTGAAGAAATATTTTTTAACAATGAAAAATTTAAATTCAAAGGATTTACCAGCTTGTACACCCTTGTTCAACATGTGCACATTTTCCTCGCTGCAAAGAGTAGAGTCCAAGGTCAAGAAACTACCAGCAGATGAAACAGAGTCAGAAGAAATAGGATTTGCCACCTGGAAAACAATGAAAAAGACTGTTAGAGTGATCTGTAGCCTAAGGAATATTACCTAGGGGGCAGGCCAGCCTACAAGCACCGTAAGCCCTCTTTAGTCAAACTGCAGAGACACAGGTGAAAGATACTTATGAGCAATGTGACCATGCATCTATGATAGGAAGAGTGCTGCTGTAAGGATAGGCCTAAGCTACTGCAATACTGAGAGAGCTGGGAATTTCTCTGCGATTTGAGAAAATTGAAGAAGCTGGTATCAAAACATTAGCCTGACACATCTCCAGAATGAAATTCTCAGCTCACACCTGTAGACAATTCTGGAGCTAAAAGAAATGCTAACTAAAGTGACGAAGCCCACAGAGGACCCATCAATCAGAGCAGATTCAGACACTTTTTATATGACCGGCAGATACCAAAGAGCTGCACTGTGCCTTAAGAAATCCCAAATGAGCTGGGTGGTGGTGGCACACACCTTTACTCCCAGCACTTGGGAGGCAGAGGCAGGCGGTTCTCTATGAGTTCCAGGCCAGGCCTGGTCTACAGAGCAAGTGCCAGGAAGGTTCCAAAGCTACAGAGAAACCCTGTCTCAAAAAACCAAAAAGGGTATCTCAAATGAATCAAATATGAAATACATGAAAGCCCCAGAGCCCTTTTAAACTATATTCAGAGCAATTTGGAGCACTGAAGGTCAAGTTAAGGGATGAAAGCTGACACTGATTGGTGGGAAAAAGAAATTGTCTGTACTCAAGCACACAAACATGGATGCCAGAGAGGACAAGAGCATCCTCCTCCATCACTCTCAATCTGTACCTCTGAGGAAGCCTGGACTTTGGGCTCGCATTTTCACAGCTAGATTGGAAGCTAGGAAGCTCCAGCAATCCTGTCTCTGCTCCCTTCCCTCAGATCTGGGATTACAGGGAAGGGATGGTCAGCTTGTGGTAAGTGCGGGCACCTGAACACTGGGTGGCATAACAGCACAGCAGCTCTTCCCCACTGAGATACCTCTCAAGCCTAAGAGTATTCAAGCTTGCTCATCACAAAATGTCTGGGGGTGGGAGAACTCTGGGGGCGGGGGGACAGACTCTCTAGGGAGAGGCTTAATCACCTGAATTTTTAATGTGTCAAATAACATTTTCAGAACAAGTTTGACAGAAGTGTAGTCCAGCTCAAGCCAGGAATTTACTCCTTTGAACTATAAAACTACACTGTAAGAACTCGGGGAACTTAGCTCAGAATCCTGCCATAAGACACCTGAAAGCAAGAAACATTTTTATTTTCAGAAGATGAGTATTATAAACTGGTGAGTTTAACACTGTTGATCTGGTTTAGAGCTCATGATCATTCTGATAATCTGCAGTTTATGTGAAAGTCAAGGCTAGCAATGTCCAAGCATGGGAAAGAAGACAAAAATCAGCTTGCCAGGTCAGCTGTTTTCCTAGTAGACATGGTCACTGAGTGGTAGCATGTCCTGCATACTTATATTTGAACAAAGGACAGCACGTTTTGAGAACCAGCTGGAGTTTCAAGGATTGAAAAAATGCACGCTGGTAAAACCATGGTCAGTTAGTCTACACTAACTAGCATTATTTCAATGCTCAGATAGGTCCTGCCTGAGTAGACATCCTGCATTGCACAAATCCCCACTGAGCACCTCCTGTGTCTCTAGGTTTGACTATTCCTGCTTCATGTTTTGTGTATCAATGCTTTGGGGATTTGGAAAGCAGGATTTCTATACAATAAACACCCAGAGTGCCTGAGAGGCTCTCAAGAAACAGGAGTATGGCCTAAATCAAGTGAAAGGATGTTTAATAGGGAAATTATGTAAATTAAAGGCCAGAGCACAGTGTCAATAGAATGATGAAATTTTGGTGTAGGAGGGTGGAAAAAAAAAAAAAAGCCAGCTACAGCCTAGAATTCTAACTCAAGCCCATGTAAGATCCTGCCTTTACTAGTCATCTCTCAAGACACAGCATTGTCTCTTTATGCCAATTTTCTCACTTAGAGGTGGAACTGAGGGTTTTACTTTTGCAATTGTATGAAGTGTAGAAAGAGGCTGAACACACTGGTTCATACCTGCAATCCCAACACTTGTGAGGCAGCAGGAGGACTGCAGCTTGAGGCTAGCCTGAGCTATACCGTGAGTGTCAAAACAAATGAATAAAGACATATATATAACAAAAAATCAACAAAAGAAATACTAGGAAAAAATAAATGACAGCTTTTCATGAGTTCAAGCCCAACCTGGGCAAAAAAGTGAGACACTATCTCAAAACAAACAAATAAGAAAGGTTTTAATAATAGACTATTAAACAAAAACCCAACTAATGTAAAACTTTGAGAATGTTTAAAAGCAAAACCGTGCAAGTACAGGAGGTATAATAAGGACAATACAATAGCAGGTAAAGCCACAGGTGCCAAAATGTGCTGTTTCAAGACAGAAAAGTAATTTCTGTATTCTAGTACCAAGAAATCTGAAAATAAAATTAAGGAAACTATCTCATTCATAATAGAAAAAACTATAAAGCATTTATGGGAGACACTAAAAATCAAAATAAATGGTGACACACCCATATGTATGAGTTAGAAGACTCAAAAAATGCTAGGATGGCAGGCCCCTCCAGATTAATTGGTAGGTTCTCCACAAGCCTAAAAAATTCTAATGAACCTTCTGAAGAAATGTATAAGCTGATGCCTGATCCCAAGCTTCCATGGAAAGGCAAAGGATCACAAGAGCCCAAAATTATTAGGAAAGAAAAATAAGAGATAAAAAAATCATTTCTTGATTTCAAAACAAAGTTATAATGATTAAGACACAATATAAGTGAGGCAATAACTGGGTGTAGATACATTAGTCAACAGAGAATCGAGAGTGATAAAGTTAACTCTTATAATTACGGTCAGTGCTATTTTAGGAAGGTACCAAGGCTAGCCACTGCAGAAAAAGATAGACTTCTGAACAAGGAATTTAGAACAAATGAATCTTTACATACAAAAGATGACTTTAAATACCACATCACATAAACAAAAATGCACTGAGCAGAGCTAAATAATTAATAGAACCAACAGATTATGTCCAAGCCTTTTGAGATTGCTGTATGATTTTGCCATTTATGAATGGCACAATAGCTATCCTGAGATGCATGTGAACTACAGGTGTTGCCTGCTGAGAATCAAATTTTAAAATGAAAACATAGGAGAAAATCTTTGTGACCTTGACTAGGGAGAAAAAAAAAACTCAGCACAATTCCCAAGGGAAAAAATTTAAAACAAACTGCGTTACTCACCGGTTGAACATCAAATTTTAATTTTAAAATAAACAAAAGCACCAGGAGGATTTGTCCTCAAATCATACACTTGGTAAGACTTGTGACAAAAATATAAAGCCGATGAGACCAGATACCATACTTGATCTTACCCAAAAGGATGAGAGGTGATTCCATATATATAGAACCCTTATGAGCTGAACAGGAAGACAAAAGATCTAAGTATCCTTCCCACCAAAGACAAGAACTCAAAAACATCTTCATTATCCAGTCATGGGTGACGTCCAGATTAAAAGCATCATGAACTGCCTTCACATCATTTAAGGTGGCCATACCAAAAACATGAATAATGACAAGTTTTGCTAAGATGTGGAAGAACTAAACTGCTCAACACACTGCACATGGGCATTTTGGAGAAACACAGGCAGTTTCTTAAAACATTAAAATTTTATCATAAGCCATTTCACGCCTAAAGGAAATGAAAATGCTTACATAAAACTTCTAAACAAATCTTCATAGTCATATTCCAATAGTTAAAAAAACAATCTAAACAGAGAAACCCTGTCTCGTAAAAACCAAAAAAAAAAAAAAAAAACCAAACAATCTAAACATTCTAAATGCTCACTAACAGACTTACTGTGGTAAAAACCCATAAAACTAACTACTACTCAACAGTAGGAGGACTTACTGACAACATACCACATGGATAAACTTGGATAACATCAAGTTGAAGCAAGCCAGATACAAAAGGCTGCATCATCAGTGACTCTATATGAACTGTGCAGAATGGGCAACATAAGAGTTCCCAAAGTGCGGAATAACACAAAAACAAGGGAGCTGCCAGGTGGTGGTGGCGCACGCCTTTAATCCCAGCACTCGGGAGGCAGAGGCAGGCGGATCTCTGTGAGTTCGAGGCCAGGCTGGACCGACAGCCTTAAAAGCAATACAGAGAAACCCTGTCTCGTAAAACCAAAAACAAAAAACAAAAACTAGGGAGCTTCCTTGATAGAAATATTTTAAAGTGGATATGCTGATGACAGCACAACTCACTTTTGCTACAGACTGTTAACAATGGCTGCCTCTGCTAAGTCGATGCCTGGGAACAGGAGTAGGAAGGACACTCATCAAATACTCAAGGCACATTATTTCTAATGTTTCATTGGGCTGTATTACCAGTTCAAGAGAGAACCAACAAAACAAAGGGTTGAAGCAATGAGTGTGGCAATAAAGACATGAGCTTGATGGTGCTAGGCCAGAAAATTCTTTTAGCCCTATAAAAGCGGTAAACTGATTCTATCAACATGCTTAGTTCAAGGTTCAAGTTTTAAAGTAGAATATCCACAAACATATCCCCAGTAAAGCTGTTGTATTTGGAAAAAGAGTGGAAAAGTTCTTTCACACAGTAACTGAGTGGTTAAAATGGATACTTTGAGAAACAAACCTTGTGAGCAGGAAGTTAAGGGACAGAAAGCTAGACGTATTTCTCAAGCCAGAATGCCCAAAACAGGTGGATTTGCAATCTTCTGATAGTTAGGGCCTAAGATCTGCCCTTTGAGGAGATGGTATGGAGGAGCTGCTGAAGCAAAGGCTGGTGTGCCCTGCCTCAAGTCGAGTGTGACAGCAATGGATAGGAACACAGGCCTCTGCATTTCCAAGATACACAGCCAGTTGTAAACACTCAAAGGCAGGGAAAACCCATATTTACAATGCATTTTAAAAATAGATAATCCCAGCACTCGGG